TTGAATTAATCCCAAAGCTTGGGTAAAAAGCCTAGCTTGTTTGAAAAATAATTATTTTCTAGAGTTGGGTGATGCATTTTTTTGTCTCAAAGGCTACAGTAAGCCTCTTTATCTTTGAATTGGCTCTTAAACCCATTGCTTTACATTAAAAAAAAAACCTGTCAATTAAAGTTTACATTGGAATTTAGTCCAATTTTACCTGTAAACTTTCCATTTATTTTGTATATTCTTATGCATATAAATATTTAAAAACCTTCTTTGGTTTCTGTGTTTTAAAGACTGGGAGGTTTTTTGGTTGGTATAAATATATCAGAACAATAAAACATGAAAAGGCTTCTTGCTGCTTCTACCTCTGTATAAAAATCAGCATTTGATAATCAATATTTGCTGTGCATACTCTTGCTACACAGATGAGTGAGCATGTAAGAAAAAGCCACTTTTAAAGTGATGGAGTTTTGCCAAGTATTTTGTATCAGTAATTAAACTGGACTGTTGCCAGAGGTGTGAGAATTGTTTCTAGAACTGTTGAAATGATTGGATGCATCAGGTCTCCTTCTCTATTAATGTAGGAAAGAGGCCTGTGAAAAAATTAAAATGTGGTTGCTGAATGCATAGATAAATAGTTGACAGTTCTGTAAATCTACACTAGTCTTCCACTTCAAAATGTGCCAGTGGCTAGTAGTGTCTGCTGCATTTTCGATATCCTCTGTGTCTTGTGTTTGGAGAAGATAAAGTCATGTTACATGTTGAGTAGGAGAAAGTGTGTCAAATACGTTTCTGAGACTGAATAAGAGAGTTGCAATATAGTTTGAATTTAATGTCATTTCATATTGCTTGGGTTTGCATGGTCACAGGGGGAAAGACACCACTACCCCAGTGCATGACAATTGCAATTTGCTTAATTATCCTCAGGAAGTGCTGATTCCCATTTTGTTGTAGCCCATCAAAGTACACAGTAAAAGGGTAACTGCTGAGGTTTTGCACTAGGAAGCCAGTGCTATTTCATGCTTTCACCACGTTCTTCTCTTTCTTCTGTTTTATTTTGTATTTTCCAATACCAGTGTATGTCGTAATCTTGCTTCATCCAGCATTGAGTTCCACCCATTATGACCCATTTTATTTGAGATTTTTCTTAAGTTTTTATAAGGAACTTCATAGAACTTCATTTCATAATTGATTGTAACATATCTTAGATATTTCCAGTAGAGCAGTATTGCTTTATTGTGAACTTTTCCAGGAAGAAAGTGAGACTAACAAATATTTTTTTTATTTATTTAGTAAAATCATTTAGTAAAATGATATAATCATTAGCTCTGCTTAGGCCCAGCAAGAAGTAGTTCTTTGGTAAGTATTTAGGTTTTCAGTGAAGGTTGAGTGGAAAATAAAAGATTGTGAGCTAAATATGCACAGTCTTCCTATATTGAACACCATGTTTAAATGCTTGTGCAAAAGTAATACAGCCACATTGCATGAACATTATTGATCTGTCAGATGGAGACCTCAGAATTATGTTCTCCCTTCTCCCTCCTGTCTCTTCTTAAGTACACTCCATTGCTCCTTTGTGCAGCAGTTAAGTTGCACAAAATTCTTTTTTTACCGTCAGGCCTCTAAATTTACACAGTTACTTCCCTGCCTTTAAATTTGTGCATGTATTTCTTACAGTTTAAATGGAGTGGGGAACCACTAATTGCTTGTGAAAGGAAGGTTTGCAAAGCATGGGGAGATTTGGGAAAGAGCTGCATTGAAGGGAAAAGTGAACTGAAGCAAAAAAAAGTGACAAGTGCGAGTTAGACATGACTCCTTGAAAAGTAGAAGATATCGTCCCCACTTCCTTTATGGACGCCTACAACTCCCACTTTTCCGTATTAGCCGCCTTTTATTATCACTTTTTCCTGACCTTTGGCAAGCGTGTACAAATTTGGCTGTCTGCAGTCCTGTAGTGTCAACTCCCTTTTATGTTGCCTATTGTACTCCACTTTTTTGACAGCTGAAAATTACAAGGATCTCGACAAGGCAACAATATACACATCACACAGCTGTGAATTTACCTTGCAAAAGCTGGGCAAAAAAATTATAAAATAACTAAGAGTTTTATACTGTTTTCTGGGATATAAGCAAAAAGAGATGGAGAACAAGTGATGGTCCCTTCAAACTCAGTTTGGGTATTGGCAAAGGGACAGTCACCTGTAAGGGAAGGTGGAGATAGCAGATAGGAGATTGTGAAGGTTGGCAGAAAGGGCTGCCACTCTTGCCAAGTGGCTGTAGAGCAAATCCCAGCAGTCCATGATAAAACTGCTGACAACCCAACCACCCATTATGGGTGTAATAACTCACACAACAAGTCATGGATTGCCAGGGTGGCATACTCCCAAAATTAAGCCCTTTTAAGGCATGTTGCGTACTTGCTTGACTGTCTGGCAGGCGCCATATACCCTTCCAAGTTCAGGAAATCAGTGTATATTCACTGCTACAAGATAATGAAAGGAGAGCAACTGATGGTATCTATGCCATGTATACTGTTTAGTTAGAGAGTGGCAAACTGCAGGGAAGGTCTGTTTCCTAGAAGCATCTGACCAGTCATTACTGGAAACACGATATGGACTACTTTGTCCAATCCTGAATAATTGCTTTTTTCATCTCATGCTAATATCAGAGCCTCAAGGATGATGCAGAGATATTCAGACTTATGATTGCCCCTATCAGTGGGTGCAATTAAATCATAAATTGGTTTAAGTGCTTAAACTCCACAGAAATAGGGACTTGGCCTTGTCATACATATTTCAGTTTCTTCCAGATTGGATTGTTTAATGTGTTCTGTGTGAGACTACTTTTGAAAATTGGAAAGTACAGCTTGTACAGACATCCAGACTGTTTGTTAACTGGATCTGATCACATATGTGCCAATTTAGCAAGAGTTTCACCAGCAAAAAGTTAATTTGAAAGAACAATGAAAAGTACTAGTGTTGATCTTTTAAACCTAAAAGAACTGGGACCATATCAATTTAAGGAATACTTACAAACCTATCCATTTGCTGGGTTCATCTGACAAGAGTCTGCTCAGCTTTAGCATTCTGAGCCTGGGCTAGTGGTTATAGGCAAAGGAACTTTCCCTATTGGCATTTCTATTGTGGAACTGTTCCCAAAGGAGAGCATCTGGCTGGCTTCTTCTTGATCTTCTAGACGTTGGTTAAGACATCTTTTTCCCATAGGAAATCTACCATTGTTGAATTTAGGCACTGAATTCCTTTTATGTTACAACATAATAGTTTAATGGTTTAATTGCTGCCTTGAGGGCAATTGGTAGATGGAAAGGAGGTACATAAATAAGTAATAAATAAGATAACAAATATGGTAATAAGCAAGGATAATGCTTCATTTGGAAATCTTAGTCTCTTGATATTTGCATTGCTAACAATGCAGATGCTAGCTCAGAGGAACAACACTTGCGGAAAGCATCTTTTTTGAAATTTATCTTGAAATGAGGGGGTGAGGAACACTAGTATATTACTGCCTGCATGTATTTATTAATACTGGAAAGCTATGGGTGAAACATGTTCTGTGTTTCATTCATTTGTAAATGTTTTTTAATAGATGTAAAACCAAAATATTTGAGAGCTTTCAAGGAAAAACACAATAGCATTTGGAATATATAGAAGTTTGGTACATTTTAAAAGAATTTTGATCTTTACAAATTATGGAAGTGGTTAGAATAAATGGTTTAAGCCTGGTTTAACTTTAAAATGATACTGTGCAACTCTGTTCTGTTTCTAAATCAGTGCTCAGATTCTATTTTAAAGCTCAACACTACTACAGTGGTACCTTGGCTCACAAATGCCTTGAGTCACGAACAAAAATTTCATGAAAATTTTGACTTGGGTCACAAACTCCACTCTGGATGGCAACCAAGATAGCAGCCATCTCCCCACCCCCCACCCTGAGCAGGGAGATGGCCAGGATCGCAGTCGCATTCATGCAGGAAACACATGCGTAATCACGGCTGTGCTGTGCTGCGCCCGTCTTTCCTGCAGGAGCGCGCCCGTGATCATACATGTCTTCCCTGCATGAACGCAGCTGTGATCTTGGTCATCTCCGCACTCGGGGGTGGGGGGAGATGGCCACGATCGTGCTGGTTGTGGGGGGGGAGATGGCCGAGATCTTTCCTGCAGGAGCACGCCCATGCCAGGGTTTCTTTGAGAAGCACTACCCCAACATAAATGAACAGAGTATTGAATCTGATGAACAATAACATGGTCTCTCATTTCTGGAGGATTATGCAGGGCAGGAAAAAACAAGTGACTATAGACAGATTTTTCACCAAAATTGACCCTGCAGCTAAGAGACAAAGAGAGGAAACCCCTGAAAGAGATCTCTCCAATGTCCTTATGGAGGTGGACTCTCCCTCAAAACAATAATTCCCCCCTACCTAGGTTTGTGTTCTCCACTGTACTGTACAGTACTTGTTGTTCTTTGTCACTTTGTTTCAAATTTTTTGATAAAAAAATAGTTACAGAATGGATTAACCTTATTTACATTGAATCTTATGGGGAAATTTGACTTGTGTCCCAACCAATTTGGGTCACAACCAGAGTCGTGGAACGGATTAAGTTTGTGAACCAAGGTACCACTGTACTTTTTCCAAAGGAGGTTTGCGCTATGTCTTACATGTAAACTAAAACCTGTTTTTGAAAAGCTTTTTTCTTAAATTAACCTTTATACTTTATTGCTTAAATAATATAGTCTACTTTAAAGCTAGAAAAATAGATATTCCAGAATAAATATTTAGAGGCCATCATCAAATGTCTAGACACCTAGAAACTCTGCATTAGTGGATCACAGATGAAATTAAACATTCAAATGGGGTGTGTGCATAAGTGTTCATATACCATATAGCAAACTTCTAAGAACTGATCTTTCTTAATATGGCTGTACAGCCCTTAAATTAAAAGAGAATTGATAAGTTAATGTATTCACATCAATAACTGCTCCTTCTACTCTCACAGTGTTGCAGGTGGGGAACTCTTTGATTTTTTAGCTGAAAAGGAATCTCTGACTGAAGAGGAGGCCACAGAATTTCTCAAGCAAATCCTTAATGGTGTTAACTATCTGCACTCTCTGCAAATTGCACACTTTGATCTCAAGGTACATTGGATAGAAATTTTGTAAAATTTGGGAACATTGCATCAAGCAGCCCTTAAACGAATCCACATACCGCAATCTTAATGTAAATTACAGTTTTGGGAAGAACTGAGAATCTTGCAGCTACTCTGTGTTGCGTGATACACTTATAAAGTTTGAATGTAATGCAGAAAGTATGGACAATTGTGATCTCAATCAGGATTTTGGGTATAAAATCAATGTTTTCCTGCAGCTGTGTTAATATATAGACATGCACTTGTATTTTTATATAAATATTCTTATTTCTATTCATATTGGTAATCTAAATACCAAATCTCTGTGTGTGTATATCCGAGCGTATGTATTTGAACATTCACTTTTGTTAGTCCGTAGGTTTCATTATATTTTAGTTAAGAGTCAGAGAGACTTGGCTTTCTCTCAGGCTTGGTGGGCACTTGATAGAATCTTGAGTATGATCTTCTGAAGGAGATTGTTTTCCTAAATTGACTGTATTTCTCAAGTATTCACATGCAACCAATTGTTTTCAAAGCCTGAGAACATAATGCTGCTGGATAGAAATGTACCAAAGCCTCGCATCAAGATCATTGACTTCGGCTTAGCCCACAAAATAGACTTTAGCAATGAGTTTAAGAACATTTTTGGAACACCTGAATTTGTTGGTGAGTGCTTTGATTAATTGTTTTGCTTTGGTAACACGTTGCATGGCTGTGCCAAAGTGAAGTTTTCTTACCTCTGTAAATGATTTCTAGAGTCCAATGTTGGCAAGTTCTGTACTGAAAATGAAGTCAAATGCTGGACAGATAAGCGCTGTAAGAAAAATAATGCTCTGAACATGATTCAGAATTACTTTTCTTCTTTTACTTGCTTGTGGGTAGCCATACAAAGTAAATATATAGAAACAGTAAGTCCATACCTATTCTAGCCATCTGGCTCACATATATCTAGGTTAGCTATTTGTGGCAGCTGGATGACCTGACTTCAGAAACAAAAACTGACCAGTTTCACCCGTTTGTAAAAACTAGGCAAATCGATATCTTCTGGGCATAGCAAGTAATGACTGTTTATAGCCCTGCATTAGAGGATTGCCAATGTAAAGGCCCTTCTTGAAGTCCCCCTGAACTCTGATGATCTAGCTAATCATCAGCATCTAGCAAATCTCCCTTATGTGGCAGGGGGCTAAAGTAGGTGGTAACTGACCAGCTCCAGCCATTTCTGGATGATACTGATTTTTCTTCTTCCATTTCAGCCCAGCTTTTAACCATTTCTGGGACTGAAACTGCTTTGCTCCTAGGAAGGTGGTTTATGCTAGGAGAGCAACAGGAGTAGTGCACATACTTTACTCTCATGGATCTCTTAAAGACGCTGGATGCATTTGACTATCCTTCTGGACCACCTCTGATTTGGGGACACTGTTTTGTGTGGCCTATACCCTGTTCAGTGGCTCAATTTGAGAAGATGATGTTGGAGGACTATATTGTGACAGTGATTCCACAAGTGTGGGGAACTTTTGCCTCATGGAGATTCCCCATTCAGCCAGCTAGCTTCTACAGGCCCTGCCCCTTCTCCCCAGGCAGATAAAATTTCTTACCTCCTATCAATGTGTGATTGTAGAAAAGAACATTTTGCTGCTCATCTTTCACATCCATTGTAGTGTGTTGTGGTTTCAGCCTCTCTTCCTTGGGTATCATGTTGATGATAAATACCAGTATCCCTGCCCTCCTCAAGTAATTTGCACCCATCTCTACTTCCATTTTCATAAACTGATCAAAAGGAACAGCTAAGTAAATAGGATACCCTGAATGAAATGAAAAATGCATATATAACACATAAAGGGCTATTCACATGACCTCTTATATGCAGCAACATATAAAAAAGAGAGGGAAGTGTTTAATTTTAAGTTCCATTACCAAGTAGTGATATGAAGGCATGGTAGGGTGATAAATTAATACTTCTAAAAGAAGCTGAACAGTTACTTAAAATGCAAAAATACTAACAACAGTATGGACAATTGTACAGTATAGTGAAAGAAAGCTGGAAATAGCATTGCAGTAATATAACAAGAAGTTTACAGAATTCTATAATTAGTCCAGCAAAATATAAGCAAAGTTGTTTCTATATCACGCCTTCCAAAAAAAAAAAAAGATGTGAGGGAGAGCATAGAACAAAGACACAGTAAGAGAGGAAAAAACCTAAGACCATAAAAGTGAAGCAGCCAGCAGTAACAAAGCCAAGTGAAATAATGGAGTGTGGAAAAATTTAAAACTTGAAATAGTAGGAAAAAAAAGAAGAAAGTTCTCTCAAACAGACTGAAAAAAAATGAAGTTGTCATGAAGATAGAATATTGCACAAGGCACTGAGGGAATTAAACCGGCTTATATTCCAAAAGTCAAATTATTACCAAAAAGCCAGTAAAGGAAGCTTCGGAAAGGAAGAAGACCTTCCAGGACCTGCGTGTTAACCGCAAAGTAGATGGAGAAACTGTACAGAAAAGAAAACAAGAAACAAAACTTAGTACATAATGTATTCACCAAGCAGAAATGAAAAAGTAGAAAAGAGTTGAAAGAGAATTTGAATGTGTTCCTGGAAACATAGTATTCATGTTCTAGATTAACAAAACCCTGTAACTTTTCCAAGGGCAAACTGCATCATCAATAGGCAGGTCAGTGTCAATACTAATTAGTCATACATTTCAAGTGGGAGACAAGGCAATTACATGGAAAGAGCACTCTTCCTTTAGTAGGATTTGTAAGGTATGTTAACCATCCATTTTCATAGCTTCTCCTAGAAAATGGGCAAGTTTATATTGCACAACAACCTGGAGATAGATCCCGGTCGAAAAAACATCATAAACCCTGCCAAAAAAAACCCTTTTGAAAGCATGGACAGTGCCCTAAGCAAGATTGACAAGAACACCAAAGGGTTTGCTGCTCTTGTTAAAGTAGTTCAGCTTGCCAGTTCCTAGTGCTCAGTTTTGGATGATATGGAAACCCATAATGTCTACAATAACTAATTTGGGTATAACAACTCCTACAGTAAGCCATCCATTATCAGGATGGCTTGTTGCTCACAAACAAGCCATGGGAAATGGTCTGGATTTGCAAAGCATGGCAATCCACCATGGCTTGTCATCCACGATAATTTATGTAAACATGGTTAGTGCTTGCTACTGTAATGCAATTTTCTTTTATCTTTACACCTTGTATGTTTGTTAATTTTTTTTATTTATAACAAACACAACAGCAGACAAACAAATGTGATAGAGCAGTGGTGACTTCTGTTAAAAGTTCAGGAGACTAACATTGTTAACTGTTCACTCCCATGGATGCCTACTTGGAAATAAGTCATACTGAGTCCAATGAAACCGACTTTGCAATAAGTATGCATGTATTGGGTTGTAGCCTTAATGAGGTGCCCAAAGACTGATAAAATGATGCCATGCAGATGCCTCTTGGGATGGTATTGTGCAACCAGCATGTCACCACTAAGTTAATCACGAAAGGCTGTTGTCTTCGCAGAACTGATGCGGAGATTCATTTAGTAACAGGAGAGCCCAAGCTGTAAAAACTTGCTTTCTTCCTAGAAACAAACTGATACTAAAGTTTTTTGAATGCTAATAAGATGATTGTATCAACAGTCTGGATTCTGTACTCTGAATAATCTTCAGAGTTCTTTATAGAAGTACTTTGCCATAGATTAATCTAGCTGTTTCTAGAGTATGATAATTATGATAGAAGTGTGTATGTGTATACATATATGGAATGTACTGTTTTCAAATACAGGGACCAGTGGAGCACAATAGATTTCTACTCACAAAGTAGCCTGAGCCATTAAAATAAGGCTAAAAAGGCTTGGGGCTGCACAAAAAAACCAAACTGAAATTCATTCATGTAGCATTACTTGTCTCTGTGAATGCAATTTGATTAATTGACTTCGGCCTGTTGCTCTTTCTAGAATATAGACATGTTCTTTGTGTATTTTCTTTGTTTACAAATAAGCAAGTAGTGAATGCATTTATTATAATTTCATCTAGTTGCTGTACAGAAATAAACACTGTTGACAAACTGATCTATTTGACTGTATACTAAACCTACTGCTTTGCCTCTTAGCACCTGAAATAGTTAATTATGAACCACTGGGCCTTGAGGCAGACATGTGGTAAGTTCTCAATTTTTATAGCACTTAGATATTTACAGTATGTATAATTGAATGCTGATAACCACATTTTTCTTCCGCCTTCTTTTACAGGAGCATTGGTGTAATAACATATATTCTGTAAGTATTAAAATTTTTAATCAGTCTGTCTAATTGTTAGCATATTAATGCAATCCCACAAATGCATAGTCACTCAAGGATGAACTGTATATTCTTCAAATGAGCATAGAACTTGGCTGATTAACCTTAGTACTTACTAGTACTTTACCTGTGAAGTACTAGTACTTTACCTTACAGCCTTGATTCAGCTTGGAAATATGGCACACTAGGAGAGAGAGAATTAAGATTCTTTCTCTTCTCACCCACCCTTACCAGTTTTGGTCCCAAAATTAACAAAGAAACAAAATAACCATTGGTTCCAGTGGAGACTTTAATTTTCTTATTTAATACACTGCCCCTCTGCAAGTGATGGATTTTAGAATGAAAATAGAAGGGAGGCTTTAATCTCCCCCTCCTGGAGCACATGATCCAAATAGCTCTGTTATGCATGATTTGAAGGACTTGCAGTTCAGCCTTCAACTATTCAGGTCCAAAGAGCTCTTATCCCGAACTAGTTCTAAATAATTATACATTTTTAGGCATTATACTTCTATATAAACTCATAAAGAATAATTTTATTCCTTTCTTATTTTCAATATTATACACTTTATCAAAAATTAGTTCAATTTAAATTAGACTAATTGAAATGATTGGAGAAAATGAAAATTGGATAGAATGCTTTGTGTTACTTTGATATAATTACACCACATTTTTTGAACTGTGTTTTTCTATTAATGATGAAAAGAAATAAATTCTTCAAGTTGTAGTCACTGTGAGGAGATATGAACTTGTTTAAGTTATTAGGCTGTTCACATCTACCTTAAACAAAAGTACATGCTAGAACTAAGCCTTGCATTGTGGTTCCATCTTCCATAAAACATAATAGCTACTGTGATTAAACTTCATTTTTACAGTCTAAGTGGTGCATCACCATTTCTTGGAGAAACAAAACAAGAAACATTAGCTAATGTGTCTGCAGTAAACTATGACTTTGAGGAAGAATTCTTCAGTAATACCAGTACTCTTGCTAAGGATTTTATAAGAAATCTTCTAATTAAGGATCCAAAGTGAGTTTCTTCCAATATTTATTTTGTGATATGAAGTGAGTGGAAAAAACTGGTAACAACCCCTTGTCCTTTTTGAATAGCAGAGATTGTCATGCCCTATTGCCTTGGGCTTCAATAAATTATCCCCTCTACTCATAAACTGTGAATTTGATATTCAGAAGTGAGTTTATATGATGATTTGTTATGATTTAGTATATTTCTTGCAGCTATTTGAATATGCATGTAGTAGAAATAAAACAGAAACCCCTAACTCCGTGAAGAATGCATTACAATTCTTCAGGACTCAGAGCAGCCCTGCTTCTTAAGATTTTTCTTTTTTGTTTTAGTAATTATTATTTAACTGAGAAGCTGACATGCTGCCCTCCAGCACGATCTTTATTTAAAGAGTGGTTTTGCCCTTTAGAGTTCAGACCCCACTTCTGTCCTGTGCTTGCAGTCTTGGTCAAGTTACTTTTGTCTGAGTCTCAGAAATTGCCTTCTGGAAAATGAATAATTTGTGACCATGACAGACATTTTGTGAGAGCATCATGACATTTTCTCAACATTATAAACCTGTTAATCACTTGACATAGTTTGAGGATCCCTGCATTGTAGCTAGTGTGCTGTAGCGATTACTGTGTTGGACTGAGACCAGGAAATTCAGAGGAATAGGATGGGATGGGTGGAAAGATGTATGCTGTCTTGAGTCTCTTGAAGGTTACCAATGTAATTTAAAAAAATAAATGTATTTCTCCTTTAAAAGGAAGAGAATGACAATTCAAGACAGCTTGCAGCATCCTTGGATCAAGGTTAGTGCGCAGTGCATAAATTGCTATATCATTTCTAACTCTTATTGCTCACAGTTGTTTTTGTTAGGCTTCTGACAGGATAATGAGCCTCTTGTTGTGCTGTCTTCCTTTCCTACACTCACAGTTTTTTTCTGCCTTCCTATCCATCTTACAAAAGGGAAATGAAGACTCAGAGCTTAGAAAAACATGAGAGATAAGAATCAAGCTTCCTTCCTTTACAAATGACTCTGTTTTCTATGGTTATTTTTTATATTTTAAATTAAGCTGATTCACCCTAAACACTAGGCAAAATCAAAATATCAGAGAATGGAAAGTTCCATTAGGTAACCTGGTGAAAATAGAATGTGACTAAAATGATTTGCGCCATCAAATCTTTAAAAGATAAAATACTTTGTAAGTGTGCAGTTCCTCCACACTTAGACAAGGGATTCTTTGCAGATAATGTATCCAACTGACAGGTTTTTTTCCTCTTTTGTAGAATATCACAATGAAATTTTCTTTTGATCTCCTCACAGCCTAAAGATACCCTCCAAGCACTTAGTAGAAAAGCATCTGCTGTAAATATGGAGAAATTCAAAAAGTTTGCAGCTCGAAGAAAATGGAAAGTAAGGTCTAATGGCTTTGATTTTTTTTAAAAAGTCTGTGTTGTAATAGATATTGTCATCGAGAGATTAAAGCTGTTGCAAGATTGATTCTTTCCTTTAAAAAATGTTCTACAAATTCAGTTTTGTACTTTTGCATGTTTATCATGTTTAACTTTTAGAATGATATTGGTAATATGTCTTAACAACTGAAAAAGGATAGCATTTTCATTGTAGTAAGAAAAGAAAAAGCATGAGATTAAATAAGCAAGGAGTTTCCCACACTGTGTGTGTGTGTGTGTGTGTGTGTGTGTGTGTGTGTGTGTGTTTGTGTAGGACAACATGAATGTAGCAGAGGGTACAAAAACATTTTTGAGATATATTAACTGTGAAAGAGAGAAGGCCAACAACAAAGCACTCCCATCCTCCAGGGAAAAAAATAAAAATCTCTTTTCTGACACTGAACAATAGGTATAAGGTGGGTGGGTCTTGATAGCTTTACAAATATGTTCCAAAATATGATAAAATGTCTTCTATCTGATTTGAATTTGTAATATGATAAGACTCTACAAAGTGATATTACTACATTACCTTTCAGTGACAAATACATCGTATCCAGTGCACCTGTATAAGAACCATGTGAATATTGAATGCATCATGTTACTTAGAGAAGTGACTAAGAAATACAACTGATAAATCTCTAACCTGTTAAATTCCGTGTCCAAAAAGGGCATATTGAACACAATTCTATATAGTACTAAAACAATAATATTGATGGCATTATTGCCAGGTGGCTGTCTGTTGATAATCGGATTGTTACCAGTCAGGGATGATTAATCCACACTTCTTCAATAAATAAATTTTAGGGTACATATACATTTATTGTAGAATGATGCATGGATGATTTGCCTATAAGGGTCCATTGCTCTCAGGACTAAAGGATAATGGAAAAGAGACAGTATTTTGAATGTGGACAACAGGAATAGGGAGAATCATTTTTAGCCAGTGATAGCTGAACTGGGAGTACCTGAGTAGCTTATTTTTTTTTCCTCTATGAATGTAATTTAGAATTAACAGTTTCCTGCCTGCTACAGAAACATATTTGCTTCCTCTGCGTTGAGCTTGCTGCTGCATAGCATCACAAATCACTATTATCTGTAATCCAAAGGAAACTAACCCTTATAGCATTATCCCATGGATTTCATTCAAGGTAATAATATTGTGCATTGAAGCAAGAAGCAATATTACTACTTTGTGGTGAACCGATCATATGAAAATATAGGTGTTGTACCTTAAATTTATGTTTGTCTTGAGACAGCTTGACTGTTGTTAGAACTATCAATCCAGTTACATTTCCTACAGAATGTCAGTATTGTATGAAATGTTTCCTATAAGTTATGCCTTCACAAAAAGCATTTATCTTTTCTCTTATAAAAGCAATCTGTGAGATTAATATCATTATGCCAAAGATTATCAAGATCATTTTTGTCCAGAAGTAACATGAGTGTGGCTAGGAGTGATGATACCTTGGTAAGTAAATGCATGGAGTATTTACTTAAAATGTAGAATCTTCTGAATTGTACCGTATGCAAGCAGTATCCTGTAGTTTCATTTATCTGAAGAGTGATAAATGAAATCAATATGTGAACAATGCTATAATCTAAATTAAGATGGTTGATATAATTTTATGAAATTGTTTCTGTTCTCAAAACTTCTGTTAAGTCTCATTTGTTTCAGTTTTATCTATTAGAGTTTGAGTACTATTAAGTGGAATGATTATTCAGAAACTAACAATAAGTCTGGCTGCTTCACTCTTTCCTGTCATTTCATTATAGCATTGTTTGTCCTAATGGTCATAAAGAGTGTTCTTAAAGAGTATGGGGGACTCTTTCTTGTTCCCTTGCAGGTCTTGCTCACATTTTCTGTGTTTGCTTTGGTGGCACTGCAGCAGTAGATGCAAGGGATGAAAGAAAAACCTTAGGAAAGCCACTTGCAGGAGGTGCAGGCTGTTTCAGTGAGAGGTCTTTAACTGCAAGAGAGTCTCATAGACAGCTCATCCAAGCCTAGCTGCTGGAGTCAGTACTATTGTAAAAGTGGTTGATTTGGCCCAGGTGCATTTGCATCATGGAGAGCTTGGATAAAGAGGGTGAGGGAAGTCCTTCCATTTTCCTTTTGTCTTTTTCAAGCAGACTACCAACTCCATGATGCACAATTAGCGCTCTCACCCGTACTTCCACAATTCTTTATGAAGCTCTTTACATTACAGAGTTGGTCCTTAAGTGGGACTGAAATGGAAAGAGATTTGCATAAGACTGTGTTTTTATATACATAAACTTAATATTGTGTGTATTAACTTTCTCCTGAAATGAAGCTATTACATAAATTTGATTTCAGTATTCTGTAAACTATTTACTCACGTAATACGGATAATACTTCAGGTTGTGGGCCCATGCTCAGAAAACAACCCATACACAGTAACCACTGGCTATATGAATTCCATGTTGAATATTCTGTATACATAAATGTTTACAAAGACTTCCTTCGTTACATTAGACCCTGAGCTGGTGTCAGTGTAATGCTAAAGCATGAATTATCAAACTTTAGCTTGTTTATGGCTTCAAGGAAAAATTAGGACATAATATGTATTCAAATTGTTTTTGAAACTGGTGGAACAGTGAAATTCAGAAATGGCAAGCCTGTCTAGACAAACGTTGAATGTCCTGAGGAAAAGAATGTTTTGAATAAAAGAAACTCTTAGCAAGATAGTACAAAGCCAAATAACCTCTTCTGAAATAGTGGCCTCTCATGTGTGAGCTAGTATTTTCATTGCCCCTGATAATTGAAGAGTTCGAGGAGATACCAAGCTTCTTCACTTTCCACTTGAAAGCAGGTTGTGTTATCTTTTTTGATACTGAGCTCTTGAGATTTATTCTTGAAGGTGTATAAATCTAGAAGATTTCTTTGATGTTTTATTATGAACTTCATGAAACGCCTTCCCAAACGCCTCCCAAATAGTAGCTATAAGAACTGAGCAGAGCAAACATTTTTGTTAAGAATGAAACGGCTTAGGCATCAAAAATTCTGCAGAGTTGATTTGCCTTGTTCTCTTTTTTTTCCACTGCTAACTTCCACATTTTTGTAAACAGTCTCATCTTATTGATGTGCTGTTCCTTTTTAATGCTGATCAGTTATATTAACTTTTACTAAACTTCTTTTGTTGAGAGGATGGCAGCCTTGTGCCACTGTGGTTTAAAGCATTAACAAAGTCAAGATAAAAGCAATTTCAGCAGTTCTGTGTAATGTTATGGATTGGTCACCCCAGGGAAATAATAGCTGCTTACTCCTGTTTTTATGTTGATATGGCATTAAAAAACCCTAACAGCTTTGCTCTCAAATTATGAAATGCAAATAGGAATTCTTTTAGGAAGCAGACCTCTTACGTAAATCATGTGCTGAATAATCTGTGCAGATGTTGCAAAAGGACAATTCTTACTAGTTAGAGTAGAGTTTCTCCATAATACATGTGGATGTTTTAGCAGCTTGACTTCCATGAAGTTGCTGTATATTTCTGTGACAATTTATTTCCTTTACATACTCGCATAAGTAATGTTTTTCCCACAAGCTAATCACTTTTTTCTGTCATATTCCCTCTCCCAACTCTATTTTATGCACATTTCTGGTTAATTTATGAGGATGAGGAAGATTCATTTGTAATGAAAGCCATCATTCATGCCATCAATGATGACAATGTTCCTGGTCTCCAGCATCTTCTGGGGTCTTTGACCAATTATGATGTCAATCAACCAAACAAGGTATGTTGTGGTTATCTTGATACTTGTTCAGGGGTAAAGTAAGCAGCTAAAAGGGGAAAAACCATAATTACCAGTGTTGCCAGCAGAAAATCAAAAATCCAAAAAGTCATGAGCTTCCCAGCATCATTTTAGGAAAATACGTATGTGAAGATTATAAAGGAAAGTAGACAGCTTGGGTTTTGGGGGCTCATTTTTGCTTTCTGACTCACATGCTATGCATGTCTGAAATATGCCCTACTCTGCCTTAATCAGATTCAGCATTAGGGCAAATAATGAGACAATCCAAAAGATCAGTCAAGAAAGTTAGCAAATAGTCAAGCACAGAGATTTCAATCTCGTAAATGATCAGACTAAGGCAGGAGTAGCCACAATAAAGGCAGTAGTCAGAGTGTTACCAGGAAAGCAAGTGGTTTCCAAAACAGGTCTGAGGTGCTGCAAGGTCAAACTCGAATAAGGACCCAGATACACTGCGTAGTCTAAGAAGCCGAGTCGGGAAGTAGTTCAGGGGTCACTAGCACAGAGATTCAGTTAGAAAGCATGGTTAAGAAAACAAAATGGCTGGAGCTGGTAGAACAATCTTGTTCCAGCAATGGCTAGCCTGAAACTGAAGGCTTATATAGCCAGAGCTTCCTGAGCTACAGTGCCCTACTTGGCAGAAGGGACTTTTTTTAAGGACTTACTGTTTGTAATCAAACCCTTCTCAGAAGAGCCTACTGGCCTATCTCTTGAGGCTGTGATAATTGCAAGGGCCAAGTGGTCACCCAGCCCCTACCTTGGAGGTGGAGCACCCTCTTCTTGTGGCAGCAGAACCATGGTGATCCCCCTAAGGTCCCAGGCTTCCCAGGTCTCCTGGCGTGGGTGGTGTTTGTCTATTTCTGGGAGACCTAACTCTTGCTGGATTTCTCCAGCAGGGAGATAAGAGAAAGAGAGTATTTGTCTGTCACTACTATATCACTGGAAATGGCAACCCACTCCAGTATCTTTGCCATGAAAACCCCATGGACAGTACCAAAAGGCAAAAAGATATGACGCCGGAAGATGAGCCCCTCGGGTCAGAAGGTGTCCAATATGCTACTGGGGAAGAGCGGAGGGCTAGTACTAGTAGCACCAGAAAGAATGAAGTGACTGGATCAAAGCCGAAAGGACACTCAGTTGCTGATGTATCTGGTGGTGAACAGAAAGTCCGAAGAGGCAAAGATCTATACTCCATAGGAACCTGGAATGTAAGATCCGTGAATCAAGGCAAGCTGGATGTGGTCAAACAAGAGATGACAAGACTGAACATCGACATCTTAGGAATCAGTGAACTAAAATGGACAGGAGTGGGTGAATTTAATTCAGATGACCATCAGGTATACTACTGCAGGCAGAATCCCTCAGAAGAAATGGAGTAGCTTTTATAGTCAATAAAGGAGTAGGAAAAGCAATACTGGAAAACAATCTCCAAAATGACAGAATGATCTCAGTTTGAATCCAAGGCAAACCATTCAACATCACAGTAGTCCAAGTCTATGCCCCAACCACTGGTGCTGAAGATGCTGAAGTTGACTGGTTCTATGAAGGCCTACAACACCTTCTAGAATTAACACCAAAAAATGATGTCCTTATCATCATGGGGGATTGGAATGCTAAAGTAGGAAGCGAAAAGATAACCGGAATAACAGGCAAGTTTCGCCTTGGAGTACAAAATGAAGCAGGGCACAGGCTGGTTAAATTTTGCCAAGAGAATACGATGGTCATAGCAAACACTCTTTTCCAACAACCCAAGAGACGACTCTATACATGGACGTCACCAGACGGTCAACACAGAAATCAGATTGACTATGTGCTCTGCAGCCAAAGATGGAAAAGCTCTATATAGTCAGAAAAAACTAGACCAGAGCTGACTGTGGCTCAGATCATGAGCTTCTTGTTGCAAAATTTAGGCTTAAGTTGAAGAAAGTAGGGAAAAGCACTAGGCCACTCAGGTATGACCTAAATCCTATCCCTGATGAATATACAGTAGAGGTGACAAATAGATTTAAGGAACTAGATCTGATAGAGTGCCTGAAGAACTATGGACAGAGGTTTGCAACATTGTCCAAGAGGTAGCAACTAAAACCATCCCAAAGTAAAAGAAATGCAAGAAAGCAAAATGGCTGTCTGAGGAAGCTTTACAAATAGCTGTGGGAAGAAGGGAAGCGAAAGGCAAGGGAGAAAGAGAAAGATACACCCAATTAAATGCAGAATTCCAGAGAATGACTAGAAGAGATAAGAATGCCTTCTTAAATGAACAGTGCAAAGAAATAGAAGAAAACAATAGAATAGGGAGGACCAGAGATCTCTTCAAGAAAATTGGAGATATGAAGGGAACGTTTCATGCAAAGATGGGCATGATAAAGGACCAAAATGGCAGGGACCTAACAGGGGCAGAAGAGATTAAGAAGAGGTGGCAAGATTACACGGAAGAACTATACAAGAAAGAGCTTAAGGTCCCTGATAATCACGATGGGGTGGGCACTGACCTCGAGCCAGACATCCTGGAATGTGAAGTCAAATGGGCCTTAGGAAGTCTGAGCAACAACAAAGCTAGTGGAGGTGACAGTATTCCAGCTGAGCTATTCAAAATCATAAAAGATGATGCAGTGAAAGTGCTACACTCAATATGCCAGCAAACTTGGGAAACTCAACAGTGGCCACAGAATTGGAAAAGGTCAGTTTACATTCCAATCCCAAAGAAGGGCAATGCCAAAGAATGTTCAAACTACAGTACCATTGCACTCATTTCACATTCTAGCAACGTTATGCTCAAAATCCTACAGGCTAGGCTCCAGCAGTATGTGGACCGAGAACTACCAGAAGTACAGGCAGGATTTCG